CTCATCTTTTTCTACTTTTAAGGTGGAAATTAAAATCAGTGACAGTGAGTCTTTCTTCCTTTCTTCTATAAGCATTACAACTAAATTTATATAGTTTTGAAGCAATGTGTAACTTGAAGTGAAGCTCAAAACAGCCCAAGAGAGATATGCTACGACATACTGAACTAGCCAACTACAGGTTCCCTTAGAACTGGTAAAGGCAGGAGAAGGAGTTCACAACTGAAGAGATAACAAACCCGAGAAATGAAGAGAACTTTGGAGGAAAGACAGATTTACAGCTGCTTATGAAATCAGAGCCAAGAAAAAGCTTGACAAGGGATCAACTTTTTTATACAGTTTGTTAAGCCCTGCAGATCACACAATATTATCTTATGAGAAATTATAAAACATTTCCCAGCCTAGAGCTCTAAAGCTATTTTTACAAAATAAAAACAAAACTTGTCACTGTACCTTTTCTAAATTTGGGCTTTATTTTTGAGGGTTCGTCCTGTGACTTGCCTCCATCTTGAATGGGGAGCACCATGTAGCACATCAAATCAAGGACTTTTTCACATGTCAGCTAAAGAAAATAAGACAAAAGTGACTAGTCTGAAGTTTCTGAAACTGAAACCAAATCAACATCACACTGAAATGTTTGCATACAACTGGGCAACGTTTGCACATGGGGACTGCAGCAATGCCTTGAGATTCTTTATGTGATTGTTACTGTCTGCGCAACAGCGCCTGTAGAAAAGTAACAGTAAGATTAAACCTAGGTACTAGACCTCTGAGGGAGCTAACTCATTCTCTGCTATTAAAAAAAAAGAACAAAACTTAAAAAGTAATCAAGTATTAATTAAACTACCAACGTGTTAAACAGCACAGAGGCATCCAAAATAAGTATGTCCCTGTCTTAAAAATATTTACTAACTCACTGAATAGAAAAATTAACAAAATAGGGCTTATAGTAGAAAACTAAATAGCATGATATAGAACATAATTTAAAACAAAGTAGAGGGCTGACCGAGTGGCTCAGTTGGTTAAGAGCTTGCCCAAGAGTGTGAGCTCTCAGCAACAGCATTGCTGGTTCGAGTGATGCTATGGGCCAGTGACACTGTGCCCCGAGTTGAGCTGCCGCTGAGCTGCCAACAGGTGGCAGGATGGCTCAGCTGGTGAGAGCACGCGCTCCTAACAAGGCTGCTCCTAACAAGTTCAACTCCCACATGGGATGGTGAGCTACACCCGCCAGCAACTAAGATTGAACACTGCATCTTGAGCTAAGCAGCCGGGAGCTGCCGATGGGTGGCCAGATGGCGACTGAATTTGGGAGCTGAGCTAGCTGCACCCGCCACAACTAAGACTGAAGGACAACAACTTGGCTGTTCCCTTTCCCCAATTTCCCAACACTGTTCCCCTTCCCCGATTCCCCAATAAAATCTTAAAGAAAAAAAAAAGCTATAAAAAACAAAAACAAAAAAACAACAAAGTAGAAATACATACAGGCTAAACTAGTATGCAAGGTTATCCTGATCTAAGGCTTAAAGGGGGAAGGATTTGGAGTGTGGAACAGAGAAAAAAGGGTTTTCAGAGGAGGAGAGAAAGATGTGGGAATGGGTGGTTGTATATCAGTTTAGGTGATTTACTTGAAGGGGAGGAGGGTGTGGTTTAGGAAATACAGATAAAAACGACTGGACAGATGCAGTGCTGGTAGATGAGAGAAGGCCTCCAGTGCTACCCTGAGCAGGCTGGTCTCAAGCCACAGAGTGAGGCATCATCACTCTCGTCCCATCTACCCATTCAGATTCTAATAACAACAGTCAGATTCCACTGAGGGGGCATTTTCTATGTGTCAGGCACAACCTTCTTATTTGCTCCATTTTTCAGGTGAGGAAGTACAATCTGAAATCCATGCTTCACAACTTTTTTTGTCTTGGCACTTATAGAAAATCATATTTGTAAGGCTGCCCTCAGCCACAGCTAACTGACCTGAGGGCTGAGGGGTTGGTACCTTGGCACATCTAGAATCCCCAATGGCCACAGGGTTGTGAAGCTTTGGCTTCAAGAGGTTGGCAGCTTGGTACTTATGAACTTGAACTTGAGCTAAACAGTCCTGGTGAGATAACTTGCCCCATGTCATAGGGCTAATATGTAGTGGGGCCAAAACTTGTACTCCAGAGTCCTATACTGCCATCCTTCAATGCCCACCGCCAGCCAACTTTTCCTATAAATCTTTTCTTAACTAAATGGACGCTGATGAATGCCTACTGTGTACATGTAGGAGGCATACCACTTAATATTTGATTTTTAACTGTCTTGAACTTTTCTCTCCAACTCCAATTATATGTTCTCGAAGGCAATGATCCCACATCCTGCTTTGCTCAACATCCCAGCCCATGGTTCAACTCTGGGTGCTTAGGAAGTAAATCTTTTAATTAAGTGGAATTATGACAGCAATTATTTTCAAAAGTGATGACTGTAATTTACAGGGATGGAAAAAAGGTTATGGGCAAAAAACTCAGTTAAAAGCTATGGGTTAGGGTGGTAGCACTGGAAATAAAAGGCACTATAGCAAAGATATTAGTATCATACTGGAAGAATCAGAAGGATTAGCTAAAGTAAGAGTCAACCATGACTTGACCATTCCACATGGAAGGGCCACAGAACTAAGGAAACTCACATCTGGACACGTTGAGTCTAAGCTGAAGATGGGTCATAGTTAGAAACCAAAGATGCAGGCCCAACAGTGATCAGCTCAGAGGGGTAACTGAAGCCTCAAAGAGAAGGAGTTTGCCTAGCTTAATCAATCGACCAGTTCATTTTACAATTCCTAATATAATGCAGAACGGCTGTCTAATTCTACATGATATATGTATATCTGTGTGGGTAAACATGTGCTCACTTAAGTTCTTGGAAGGAATTGATCGAAACTTAGAATTAGGCACCTAATTACATAAATGATGGTAAAAAAGCATTTTCAATTTTAAATGCACATACTCTACATACTCTCTAATTGTTTCTTTCTGAAACTCATGGCAAATTATAAATCATACTTCAAAGTTCAAGTTAAAAAAATTTAATTTAGGATTTTAGTCACACAGTAATCAACATACAGACAGATGAGACTCAGAGTTTGTCTGTTAGGCTGTGGTCTTAAATTTATATAGTACATATATATATATATATATATATATATAAAGAATGTACTTGCCATTTTAATTGAATTCAAGCATTGATTAAGTATCGGAGCTGTGCAAACTACTGCCATGGGTACTGTGAGAGATTCAAAGATAGGGAACACCGTCCCCACCCTGGGGTAAGAGGGTCTCACAGTCATGGAGAAAACAGGCTCCTTTCTACATCGGCTCCTGCAACACCACTAGGAGGTGTCATCACCACGAAAAAGAGAATATGAGGTTCGGATAAGCTAATGTAAATCCTCATCTCCTGCTTAGTCCAAGTACAACAGACTGATTCTACTCTAAAGGGATTCTAGGCAAGAAAGTAAAAAAAAAAAAAAAATTATCCTCCAACCAAATGGAATAACAAATAGGAAAAGTGAAAAGAACTGAAGCCTAATTTCAGGGAAGCTATATAGCAAGGAGAAAATTAAGTAAAACAAAATCCCTGTGCTTTTTCAGAAGATTAGGTAATAAATCTAGGCAGAAAGACCAAATTTCAAGCAAACATGAACTGAATTTAAAAAACCACTCTAGAAAAGAGAGAAAGCCCAGGGTGGCTGTGTGGGCTCGCAATACTCACTCTGTACTCCCCTAGAGCAAAGTGGCACGTTGCTAGCTGGATGAGTGCCCTCTGGTGCTCCAAGGTCCCCTGTCCGGTGATCTGGGGCTGAGGAAGTGATCCCTGGAGAGCCGCTAAATGATGCAGGCTGGCTATTGCCTTTTTATATTGACCCTTAGAAAGACATAACAAAAAGGAGACAAAAAACACTGCCATTAAAAAAAAAAATCTCCAGTTAATTAAGCAACTAGCAAGCAACTACAGATAAGGTGCCTCTGCTTGATCATCTAAGACAAAAAATGAGACTTAGCATGTCTTTCTGGTTTTAATGCTTAAGACTTAAAAAAAACACAAGCCCTTTGATAAAGCACATTTGAGTACACCATTTCTTCATACATATTTTACTCCTAATACCACTTCTCCTTTATGAAGGATGGAAGCAGTTAACATGTCCATCTCAACATCAGAGGCTGGAAACTCTCCATCCCATTAATGAATTATCTGCGCTCTCCATTCCGGGTATAAGGAGCTCAAGAACAGCATAGTAAGGCAGAAAGATGGCACCAGAGTAGAAAGGGGTAGGGAAAAGAAGTATTCATCTTTCCTGAAAAGTAAAAATCTTACTGTTATAAAGGAGTGAGACTGGACATACCAAGAGTAACAGAAGATGCAGCCTTGTCATCCTGGAGTTATTTTGCAATTAAAGTGGACAATAATCCCTCTGCCACCAAAGACGTAACATGTCTTCAGAGCATGGACTAATAATCCACAAGGGACATCACATCTTGCATGTACAGACACAGGTACTTAAAACATACATTATTCTACCTGATAGATGATCATATCAGTGAGGAAGATTCTTAACCAAAGCCAAGTATCCGTCTTCCATGCCAAACAAATTCTTGTGAATTCTGAATGAGAATTCAAAGCAAATTTACCAAAAATATGTAACACAGAAGCAGAAAACAAAACTAACAAATCCAGCAAGAGATAACAACAGTTAGAGACACATTACCAAAAAATGGACAGTAACTTTAGATTTTGATTTCTTAAAAAATGGTCTAGAATTTCAATTAGATGTCAAGTTAGAACATAATGCTTATCAGTAAAACACAAGCAATATTTTTATTAGGCACCAACATTTACTAAGCACATGCCATATGCCAAGAACTGCTCAAAATGCTTTTCACATATTACCTCATTTATTTTTTAAATTATGCTGCTTTCCCCAGAAAAAGTCTTATTTTATTTTCCCAGTTAAAATAAAACATATATGACACTAGAGTTTAAGTCATTTTTTAAAAAGTCAATTTATAACAAAAGGAAAAATCCCCTCCAAAAGTCACACATACAAATTCACAATTGTGACAAGGAGAAACTGAATGATGCTATGTTTACTTAGAAAACATGACACGGCACATCTGACCGAGGGCTCTGTATAGGCATGTGACAGGAGCAGGCCAGCAGATTAAAGTCTACTGGCTAAATGGAAAGTAATGGGCCTTGATTCCAAAGTATAGTAAAAATAAGCTGGTTAGCGAAGCGCTAGGGACTTCTAAGTGACGTTGAAATACTTAATAGTTCAAATACTATACAGACAAAACTCCCTGTAATTTTATATCTATACCGAAAAGAAAACAGGCTTTCTGTAGCATTTGGATTTTGAGTTTCAAGCTGTGCAATTAATGCAGATAACAATATCATTCCCTTTTGTATTCTTTGTTACATGTGGCTTAAGGAAGATATAAAGCCATAGGACAGAACAATTAAAAGCAAACAAAACACAAACCACCCCCGGACAAAAACAAAAACACAAAACAAACAGACCCCTCAAAAGGCCAGCAATACAAATTATAAAAGACCAAAAACTTTCCCTCAAACTTCACCCAACCCTGATTATAATATACCCTTAGAATAGAAGCTAAGAGGTAAATTGTTATTTGAACATTAATAACTGATTAGATATCTTGCTCAAAAAGAATCCTATGTGTGAACTACTATAATCAATTTAATTAGCCACAAGTGACTTGACATTTCAAGTAGCATAATGATTTTTTTTTAGCATAAGGATTTTATAAAAAAAATTTAAACAACATGAACATGGCAAACATATTCTTACCCTTGTCAAGGAATTCTAGGGAATAGAGCAACTCCCAGCTCTCCCGGGCCAATTTGAAGCTTTCTAACACTTCAATTGAGTTAGTAAGTTCTGCTTTATTGATGACAATGTGACGATTCCTTCCTTTTGCCGAACAGTCCTCATCATCTGAACTCTGCTTAGAGAATGTGAAGAACATGATTGAAGTTATCAAAATAATCATATACTGTAACATTATGTTTATTGCTGCCAATTCTGGTTATTATACGGATTATATATCAAAGGATACTATCATGAGTATAATATATTTTTTAATTTAACAAGTTAGCTTTAAAAATTAATATTATTTTTCATCTTTTCACTCTCACACATACAAGTTTTACTTTTAAAATTAAGTTATGTTTTTCCAATGGTAAATTCTAAGCTTATGTTGGTTTCAGAGTGAAGTTATAGAGTTAAAACTTCCAATAATTTAAAAACATTATCAATGTTATAAAAGATAAAAATTAAAATTTTACATTCAGAGCTATATCTCAACTAAGTTGCACCTGTTTTGTAGTTTACACTTTTTCCAATATGTGACATTATTTCATTTGCTTCCAATAACAGTTTGTCATATGTGGAAAAAAATTAAAGCCTGAGTCCCCTGAGATATAATTCAGAGATACGACTACTGTTTATCTTTTGTTCACTGCATATAACTACTGTAATAGTCACCCCCTCTTTAGCTCTGCTCCCACAATGCAAAGTGTCCAGCCAGGAATCACATTTGTCGGTATTTATCTACTATTAATGGCCTCTGTATTTTACAAAAAAAGATTGCTACTTTTCACCTCAAGTAATATAAAGCCAAGGAAAAGAGAGGACCTCAAAGAAAGGCTACTATTGTAAGTGCCACTAGGTATGGTAAGACACTTTGCCAAAAACAAGCAAACAAAAAAACCAAAACCCAAAAAAACAACAAAAAAACCAGTAAAGGTTAAAATTCCACTTTATTTTGCTGAGAAATTCTTCAATCTTTTATTCCACCGAGGTCATTTTTATGAATTCAATGACCCAAATTAAGCTCTCCCTGCAGATTTTTACCCCACTAAGATAATTTATAAATATGTACAAATATTTTAGCTAAAAGCGCCATTCCTCAAGCTAATCTCAGAAAAACAGGCACCTCCCTCCCATTATCCATCTTTCTCCCATACTCTCAGAGCTTAGTATTCTGCTATTCTTGATGGTTGGGGACCCTCCCCTGCCTCACCCTATTTAGCTTCATATTCTTATCCTCCTTCAGTAATCACAGATACCCAGGTCCCTTTCACAATCAAAACCTATCAGGTATCTTATTTCATCAGGGTCCTGTTCTTGCCACATGTTGGCAATCTAATAAGATATACTAAAATGAATGGTGTGTTCACTGGAAAACATTCCTGCCTCAAAACAAGATCAGGGGTTTATGGAAGGGACCTCAAATGTGATGGGAATAGCGTGCACTTCCAAACAGTTTGTAAAATTTCAAGAAACTGATTTTGAAATGCAAAAGTACACTGAAGCTCTGAGAGGGTCCTCTGAAGCAAGAGTCCTGACCGCAGGGAACACACACGAGTGTGTGCGGGTAGGAACATATTACCTACAGGAGAGGACTGCCCGCCACACCCAGTCCAGCTGCCTGGCATGTCACGTGAGCAGGGAAATTAGGCTGGGTGCCCATCTGAAGTGAACAGCCTCCACCCGCTCCAGTTGTGGGCCGCCATCAGGGGCCACCGTTATCAGATATTCCAATTATTAAAGGAAAGTCAGACACCTGGACTGCTATGAGCAGTCTCCAAATTTTCAGGTGTTAGGTTATTTTTAAAAACAATAACAACACTATGAGTAAAAGAAGACGTGGCTGAGTTGAGCTCATGGGTCATCAAGTATGTCCTCTGCTGTGATTGGACAAATAGACTTGGTTGTGTCTGCATCAGTGGGGGCAGACTGAGGAACAAATGAACACCAGGATGAAATCAGTTAAGGGAGCAAAAATAAGAATAGATGGAAACCCCGGATTGCTTGGAGGGCCAGGGTATAGGAGCAGAGCGTAGTAGATGATACACGACAGGCGAAAAAGGGCAGGAGGGACATACGGGCCAGGTTTAAATAGTGCTGCCACGGCCTGGACGCCAAATCTCACAGGGACGAGTGGGCCGTCACTCACTCAGCAGACGTTCACTGAAGGCCTACTGCGGCCCAGGCTCTGCACGTGCTGTGGGTGAGGCACTATTCTGATGCACAGGATTCGGGGGCAGACAAAACAGACCATGTCCTTGGCCCCACACAGCTTATATTCTGGTGAAGGGACAGATAGTAAACCAGCCAAAAACCAAAGGAAAACCAGACAGCAATAAGGGCTATGCAAGGAACTAAAACTGAGCAATAAAAAGAGAACACTGGATGGCTACTTTAAATGGGTGTTCAGGGGAGGACTCAGAGGGAGAAATATTTGGGCTGAGAGCTGAATGACAGGAGCCAGCTTGGCAGAGAAAAGCACCCTAATCTGAGCTCACTGCGAGGGGGAGAGGCCGGAGGCAGGACTGGCTCAGAGCACTAGAGGAGCAGAGAGACCAACATGTCTGCTGCATGCAAGGGCTTGCTCAGCAAGGACTTTGAGGCTGAATGAAGTGCAGAGCACGGATTTTATTCCAAGCGTGCAGGGAAGCCATCAGAGGCGGTCAAGCATGAATGTCTGATTCATGTTTTAAAAAGATGACTCAGGCCGCTGGGTAGAGGACAGACTGTGGGGATCAAGAATGAAAGCATGGAGACAAGGTGCTGACTCGGATGACCCAGGAAAGAGACGGGGATGGCTTGACCTGGGAGGAAGTGTAAGAGACAGAGAAATGGATGGATGGGGCTATGTTATATATACTGAAATATATGGAGACGTGTCATTGCTTTTATTTAAAACTAGTAATATGCAACCTATTATCTACATGGGAGAAAGAGGTGTTTTGGAGGCCTTAATGCAAAGTACCTGGATATACTACAGACCCTCAGAAACGAGTTACCCACTCTGGGAATGTCAGGAAAGAAGGAAAGACAGTAGACATAGAGCATCTGGGAAAGCCTGTTGAGCACAGAGTTCTCAACCTGGGGTTCACGGTCAGGTTTCAAAGAACCTGTCAACCTCTGAAATATTGGCAAAATTGTGCATGTATGCATTTTTCTGTGAGAGGAAACATTTCAGTTTGTTAAAAGGGTTAATAACTTTACAAATATTCAGAATGGCTACATCTTCCCTGCTCCAATCCATTCTATATTATATAGTCTATGAGACATCTATGGCCATTTAGAGATTAAACTGATCTTAAGGTACATCACTCATCATGCCAGGGTCTAGTAAACTGTTACTCAAGGACTGAAGAAGAGAGGATAAGGGGACTGAAACCGGGAGAGGAGAGGTGGGGAAAAAAGTGGGTAAGGCTCCAGGCTCCCCTTGGGCATTTCAACTAGAGCAGAGGTTAGCAAACCTCTCTGCAGGCCAAACCCTTTTTGTAAATAAAGTTTTATTGTAACACGGCCAGTTTACCATTTGTTTACTATTGTCTATGGCTGTAAGATCAGAGCTGAGTAGTTGCAAGAGATCCTATGGCCTGTGAGCCTAAAGCATTTACTACCTGGCCCTTCATATCTCCACTTTCACATTACACATTGGCTTTCCACTAAAGAGTTTACAGAAAGATAGGATTCCCCTGCCTTACAAAAAAGTTTGGAAATCAGTGCCCTGCACAGGCCAGCTGCCTGGCAAAATGAGAAGACTGATGGTTCTGTCCCCTCTCGACAAAAATCTCCTTCTCAATTCCAAATGACAAAACCCTACATATCCTTCAAGGTCAATCTGACCTCTTTCATAAAACCTTTCCAACATCTCCCCTGGGTCATAATTATTTCCTACCCTGAATGCCTAGGGACTTCCCATTCTGAGACTAGTCCTTACCACAGCACCCTGCTCTAGATGTCCAATGTAGTTTGTTTGGTTTTGCTTTTTAAATTTAACTGATGCCACTCAGTGAAAAAAGGTAGCAATAACTTATACTAGGGTTTCTCAACCTCGGCACGTTTGGCCTTTTGGTCTGGATAATTCTTTGTTGTGGGGGCTATCCTGTGCATTGTAGAATGTTTAGTACCTATCTCTGCCCTCTACTCATCCCATACTAATAGCGACCCTTCCCCACCCAGCTATGACCATTGAAAATGTCCTCAGACATTGCCAAATACCCCTAAGGGGGCAAAATGACTTCTAGTTGAGAACCAATGGTTTATACAGTAATTATATTCTATAATTAAAAGATCTAAGCTTTATCAATTTAGCTCCAAAGCCATATTTTACAAAGATTTATTTCTAGCAAACCATAAACATATAATCTGTTAAGAATCATATCAGAAAGGATTACCATGGTCTTTTCTCTTCCCTCAGCTAGCTTCCTCTTTTTATGTATGTGTTTATTACGATCAATTTCTATATCACCATACACATTTGATATATCCTCAAGAAGAACCAGTGGAACTTGGCTTGGCGCATTAGGACCTAAGGATGGAGGAAAACACCAACACTTAAAAATGCAGCAAGGAAAAGAATACTCAATAGCAGATAGAAGTTTACTCAGGTGTCGTGAAAATATAGGTCATTAAAAAATATGTTCAGTGTGGCCCCAATTAGGTAAACAAACAAGTATATACGAGGCATGACAATTAGGTTCGCAAACTTGTAGCAACAATGTTGCTAACCTTTTTTGATATCAGAGGGATTATTCATTATGAATTTGTACCAAATGAACAGTTAACCAAGTTGACTATTTGGAAGTGCTGAAAAGGCTGCGTGAAAAAGTTAGACGACCTGAACTTTTCGCCAATAAGTCATGGCTCTTGCATCACGACAATGCACCAGCTCACATGGCACTGACTGTCTGTGAGGAAGTTTTTAGCCAGTAAACAAATAACTGTACTGGAACACCCTCCCTACTCACCTGATCTGGCCCCCAATGACTTCTTTCTTTACCCAAAGATAAAGGAAATATTGAAAGGAAGACATTTTGATAACACTCAGGACATCAAGGGTAATACAACGACAGCTCTGATGGTCATTCCAGAAAAAGAGTTCCACAATTGCTTTGAAATTAGACTGGGCGCTGGCATCAGTGCATAGCTTCCCAAGGAGAGTACATTGAAGGTGATCATAGTGATATTCAGCAATGAGGTATGTAGCACTTTTTCTAGGATGAATTCGTGAACTTAATTGTCAGACCTTGTTATGTATAGCAAAAAAGACTGCAGATATACACCAAATTGTTAATAGAGTTTCTTCCTCAGTGGTAGATTACAAGCAAAAGTTCCTTTTTCTTATTTGTTCTTATATATCTACAATTTTTTTACAATGCTCTTGAATCATAAAATTACCAAAAAGAGTAAGGCTACAAAGTTACACATGCATTATGGTTACAAATTCCAAACAAATCTAAACATATGAAAGACTATAAGGCAATACACAAAAATGAGACCTGTGTAATACTGGAAGGATGATGGGAGATTTCCCTCTCTTATTTTTTTATTTTTCATATTTTCTAGAGTTTATATGCATATATATTATTTTAAAAATCTGTTGCAAAGTCTTTGTGAAATTTATTTTAATACTTTGCTACATCTGCTACTTTTTCAAAGTAAAGGCATTTAATATTTGTATTTAGTTTCATAGTACCACTACATCCTTTGATACAGAAAATTTTAATGAGTATGTACTTACATAAAAACCAACAGTAACTAAAAAAGCACTAGCATCATCCCACAATTACTTGGATCTAAGAACAATGCTAAGGTAAACATTTTCATCTTCCCCACCATCCTCACTGAGGTCACTATTTTGGGGCATGCTAAAATTCTTACACCAACCTTGGAAGAGAGATGGCTGTATGCTATTGACATACTGGAATGCATTCTTGAAGAAGACCAACATGGTGGAATAAACCACTTGGTTTTTATATTTTGCATGAGCTTCATTATCAAAGTTGTTCATATATCTGCAGAGATCCTTCATTCTATGCAAAATATCACCATAGCTTCTGAAAGATGAAGGATGATAAAAGTTACTTAATTACTCTGGGCATGTTAGCAAAGGTTCTAGAGAAATGCCCCAATAGAACCATTACATTTACCAAATGTAGCTCTAGGCATGTAAAATTATTCTTTATGTCTGCATATGGATACATATTCCCCTTCTGAATTAGACAGTGATCACACCAAGATTTCATGACATAAACACACCAAGTAGCTTCTCTTTCCTCTGAACACCAAGGAGTATTTCAAACTCAACACCATATTAAGAGTTCCTATTTCCATTGGGAATCTTTTAATAAAGTGAAAAAAACCACGCTCTTTTACATAGAAACTGAGTGTTGCAGAATTTGCCCAAAGAGATGGTTTTTAAAAAAAGTGTTTTTGTTTTTTAGGCTCCTGAGATTATGCTAGCAAAAGATTTGTTAGGCAGTTCTAAAAATGAACAATTTTTTACCGTCTTCCTTTGTCCATCTGCCATTCACATCTCATTCCAACCACATTCAAAATCTTAAACAACCTCTCCCAAGGGTCCACAATCTGGGATGATTTTTCAGTCAGCCCTTCTATTATGTACTTCTGAGAGCTACGTTTGCTAGGCGACATTAAATCAGATGTTTCTTGGGCACCTGAGATGTGAGAAAAAAGTAGCCTACAATTAACATTACTACTTACTATTTATATGGTATTTGATAGAGGAAAAATAAGTCTGACTCCCTATTCAAAGGCAAGAACACAGAATCTCAACATGTTATGTGTTTTGTTTAAGGACCCACAACTGGCCATTGGTACAGCAGGAAGTGACGTTTGAGCTGTGGTACATGTACGAAGTTCAGTGTACGTTATAGTTCAGCGAGCTATTTCAAACAAGGGGCAAAATCGGTTCCAGAAAACGCTCATCTCTTAACTACAGTATTTTTTTCTAGAAACCATGTTTTAGAAACACTATCAAAATGGTCTGTATTCAGAGAATAATCAGAATGATGAGGGATTTCTGACTTGGCAATTTTACTGAAGTCTGTCTAAACAAGCTTCTAGGCTATTCCCACTTACCTTGATGCTGGTTCTCTATTTGAGTAGACCTAGTAACATAATTGATATAAAATTCAGCTGCTTTGTTCAAGTACTTATATAATAGATTGGCAGGCAATCGAACATCATGGTTGTTAATTATTAGAGGAAGGACATCACAAACTGTTGAAGAGAAAAATAAGAAAAAAACCTATTAAGTCACCTGTCTATCCTAGGGTTCTGACAAAAACAAAATTTATCTTAGAGTACACTTAATGTAGTATCTAAAATATATCAGGAAAAACCCCTTATGGCACATTTATTTGAAAATTGCTGTGCAGGGGGACACCAGCAGATAGAGTCAGAGAGGGAACACAAGTGGACTGTACACTATGGGTAAAGGTCTAGTTCTTACATTGGGTGATAATTCAGATGTTTGTTTATTATTGTACTTCATACTTTAATATCTAGTTACACATATTCTTTGGGAGGTATCAAATAATACATAATAAAAATTTAGAAGTTGTTTAAATGCTTTCTGGACTGAAAAAATAAACCAGGATCTAAACTCCATAATGTGAAAAGTCCTGTGCTTTCCACAAATGACCTGATCCCTGAAATGGTGCTTACCCCCACATATTCTACTTACTGTAAGGAATTCATACAAAATACAATTTTTCTTACCAAATAATTTTCTAAAGCAGTTAACAGGAGATTCTTGTTCTTCAATAGTTTCCGCCTCTAACAGTGCCTCCCCAAGGCCAACCTGATTCAAAATACAATTAATCATTTAAATGTGTTACAATTTAAGGCATCAGAATTATTTGAAGAAACAGGGTATTTTTAAATTTACCACATAGTTTGTATATGGTACAACTTCCCTGAGAAACAAATATTCTCATTTTAAAGACTAGGAAACAAAAGAATGGTCAGCAACACAGCCCAGAAGGGAACCCTAAATTCACCTGATCACAGATCATTTTGTCTCGGTTATTTTCCTCTGAACTAGTAAAATTAAAATGCTAACAAAATGTGTAAGAAACTTAAAGGAAGCTCTGGAACTACAGTTAGAATGGTAATAGAAATGTAGAGATTTTCTAGGAAATGTGAAAACTAACTTTAGTCTCCAAATCAAGGTGTATTATGTAGACAAAACATCACTTTCAAGAGTTGTCCAGGGTAGCCAGTCATACAGCCTGGGCCAGGCTGGACATAACTGTTTGAGTTTTAAGGGCACGCTTCCCTTACTTATGCCCTAGCATAGCAGAAAGTTAGCTTATCAAAATCTACCAAGGTGTGAGTAGCTTCCTTTCGACCACTTGGGATGCACAAGGTTGGTGGTAGACCAATGTAAAAGATTACATAATACAGAAAGTTAAAAGTCAGAGTAATGACTAAGGAATGTACTGGGATGCATAGTGTCCCCCCAAGAATTCACGTCCATCCAGAACTTCAGGATGTGACCTTATATAGATTTTATCTATAAAAAAGTAAGCTCTTCATAAATGCAATTAGTTAAGATGAAGTCATATAGGATTAGGGTGGGACCTATATCCAATGACAGGTGCCCTTGTAAGAAGGTCAGGTAAAGATACTGGGACACAGACACACAGGGAAGGCCATGTGACAATGGAGGCAGAAATTGGAATGATAAAACTGCAAGTGAAGGAATGACAAAGACTGCCAGTGACCACTGGAAGCTAGGAAGCGGTAGCCAAGATTAATGATTTGAATCCTGATTCTCCCACTTACTGGCTATGGGAAGTTACTAACATATTTAAGACTCCGTTCCCTCATCTGTAAAGTGAATATTATCTACCTCAAGGGGTCTGCGGAGAATAGGGGATTCCTAACACTTTCCGATGCCTGCCAGTAGCACTCAATAATTATTATAGATATAAGGGGAGGTATAGAGGGAAAACAGTGTTCAAAGTGAAAAAGCATATGAAAAACTTGTCTGTTAAGACCCTAAGCTATGATTCTCATTTAAATTCAAACACATTGTTGACTACAAAGGAATAAGATTTATTTTTCAAAAACTTTACTGTACTTTACAGATTATACAGTCAAAACTAGGTGACTGCTTCCTTACACTGATAAGACAACTTCTACTGGAAATTTATGAAGTTTGATAACAGTGACATCCCTTTAGCTTTACCGAAAAAGATTCCTTGAGTTAAGTTCAATCTTATCCAGTGTGCCTCAGAATTTCTGCTTTATAATAATATATATGATAGCTCCTAACCACACTGATGAGTTTGTTGATCAATTTTATTTTCTCTTAAGAAAAGAATCACATTACCCCATGTTGCACCACTGTTTCAGGGAAGCGTCTCAAAAGTAGAAGCAACATTTCTGATCGTTCCAATGTGTTGAAGCATTGTTCCGTAACCTTTAGTAACATTTCACACTGGACCCGACCAGGAAGAGTCTCAAATAAACCTGTACACAACACATTTAATTTAAAAATAAGTTTCTTTCAGAAAGACCATACTGAAGCAAAGGTGGAAGTTAGGCATTTTCATATATAGAACATAAACTGGGTTTCACCTATAACCTGGAAGGCTTTTGGATCAGATAGTATTGGGCATAAGATGTTTGCTGAATGACCATAAAACATATGCAGGCCTTACTGGATCCAGCATGATATATGAGAAGGGTCACAACAGTGTTTGTTGCTAGCTAAGATAATGAAAATATTGTTTAAGTTGAAATAATCTAAACTGTCTACTTTCTTTTTTATCCAGGATTTGAAATTTTTGGCTGGCTGCAGCAACCAACACAGAGTAAAAGTTTAAAGAAAGGTCATAAACTATTAAAAATTTCTTTCCTGTTTTGTGGAGATCTGCCTAATCTACAGATGCTTTCTGATTACTGTAAAACTTGTTAAAAATATATCTGTTCCCTGGGTTAACTGATAAATTCTCATCCTTTAGGAAGCTTACATGGTTCTAAGCAAATGCTCAAGGGACCAAGTGACATCATTTGTACAGACTTTATGGGTACCGATACTACAGATAAGACTTTTTTGTGAAATTACTCTATTTAAGTTGGTATTCCAGAAATAATTTATACACCATGAAGTTATTAAGTCACTCCATTCTTACTTCTTAAAAATTGGGTTTGTTTATCCTGTGAATCATTCCTCAATGCTGATGTAATAATGCTGATTTCTCTCCACACCACTGGCTGATCCGGGAAATTCACAAACCTAGTTTTAAAACGAATGCATTAAATTAAAATGTCAGATTTTATGTGTATCCAAAAAAGAAAAAACATTAGCATTTAGATAAAACCTTTTCTTTTTTCAAATGAATCTATAGCTGTACCAAAACAAACCAAAATACAGATATAAAAATAAAAACTAAGAAAAATGAGGGTACTCACAAATCTTTAGAGGTCTTTATAAGTTAAAAGACAAGCAACTATAATATGTAAAGCACCCCTAAATATTAACAAGAAAAAAAAACTACCCAAAGAAAAAGTTAGCAAAGTCAAATCACAGAAAAAATACAAATAGCTAGAGAACATTTGAAAGGATACCCAGTTTTATTACTAACACAATGAACACAATTTTTTTTAAATAGCAAGATACTATTTTCTCCTATCACATTGGCAAAAATTAAAATCTGATAAGACTAATAATATCCATTGTTCGCAAAGGTGGGAAAATGCGTACTCATACATCATTAGTGAAAATATAAATTGGAATAGTATTTTAGGACAATAATTTGATAGTTTATCAAAATTTAAAATGTGCGGGCCGGCCGAGTGGCTCAGTTGGTTAAGAGCTCGCTCAAGAGTTTGAGCTCTGAGCAACCGCGGTTCGCGTCCAGCCCGAGCTGAGCAGCCGCTGAGCTGCCAACAGGTAGCAGGATGGCTCAGCTAAAAAAAAAAAAAAAATTTAAAATGTGCATTCCCTTTAACTATGAAAATCTATGTCTAAGATTCTATTCTACAGAAAAACACCAAAATGGGTACAAAATAGCTTATTGACACTCTGAATATAATTTCAAACAATTGGAAACTACCTAAAAGTTCACCAGTAAAAAGACATGTCTATGCAGACATGAAAAAGAATGAAGGTCTCTACCTACTAACATGGAAAGGGGTCCATTACAGTGGGTGAAGAAAGCAAGCTGTAGAATAATATGAGTAGTATGATCTCGATTTGTAATCCCCTAAAATCTATTTATATGTATTTAGCATATAACTATCTATACACATATAGCTGGTCCTCAAATAACGCTATTTCATTATAATGTTGATGAGGGAAGAAAAAGTCCATTCCTGGCTTGGGCCAGTTGTATGCGTGGAGTTTGCACATTCTCCCCATGTCTGTGTAGATTTTCTCCAGGTACTCTGGTTCCCTTCCACATTCCAGAGATGTGCACATAAGGTGAATTGGCATGTCTCAATTGTCCCAGTCTGAGTGTGTGTGGGTGTTGAGTGTGCCCTGCAGCAGAAGGGTGTCAGGTCCTGCCTTGATCCCTGAGCTGCCGGGATAGGCTCTGGCCACTGGTGACACTGAACTGGAATAAGCAAGTTGGAAAATAATGATCTTACTTGTTTTTATTAAACTTTCTTAAATGTATGTATAGCTCACATTTACTTCAGTGTTTAATGTTAGAAGTATTTTGGGTCTTTATTTAGAAATTTGGCGATGTTCTTGTGAATGGAAATATGTCTAGTTTTCGTGAATAGAAATATGTCTAGGAATTTAACTCTTGTTTATATCAATTAGGCTTTTGTTAAAATTGGTTTCCTTATACATTGTTTCACTTAAAGTCACAGTTTCCAAGAACCTATTCACCACATTAGTGAGGACTTCACTGTGTATACAAAACTTAACTCTGGTTGGGTTTAGAATGGACTTTCCCTTTTTATTCTCTATTCTGCATTATTGTTTGAACTTCTGCGAAGCACATGTATTATTTCCAAAATAAAACAAATTCTTGGATAGAAAAGTTTTAACAAAAAATATAAGAAGAAGACTTCTCTGCAGAAGACATGTCAGCAATGAACGGAAGGACTAGACTCACGACTAAGTAAGTTTCAGGCACCAGAGATGTGGATGAACGTGAAGCTCTTCCCCCAACGCCCACTTCCACAGACAGAAACAAAACCTCACGAGAGCTCCAGTGCAGTAACAGTCGAAGTCCAGAGTCCCCACTCACATGTCGTACAGCAGTCTCCCGGCGGTGGCAGTCCGCTCTGCATTCCGCTCGATGGTGTACATCTCATACTGCAACACAGATCACACCCGCGGGTCACAACCTCCGCGGGGGCTGCTCTGAGCTCGCCGCCCACGTCGCTAGTTGGCCTTCCCCGAGCACTCGGCTCCCCCACATCCGCAGTGGGGGATGGAGGACCAGAGAGTAAAGCATCACCTGGTGGCACAGGGCCA